GGTTCGTGGACCCGGCCGTGGGCGGCAGGTGTGGTCACGGTTCCCCGGCACCCGCCGGAATGCTGCTCGGGGGTGTCAGCTGCTGCCGGAGCGGCACCAGCACCTGCGGCGCACCAGCCAACACCAGCGGCGCGGCACCAGCGGACACACGGCTGGTTCACTGTCCGGCCGAGCGACTGGTGACCGGCCTTCCTGGTGGGCCGGCTGACTGGAGCCGGTGGTGGCGGCCGTTTTTGCGGCGGTGCGGCCGGCTATGGAGTTGACCGGCCGCGGACTGGGGTCGATAGCTCGGCTTGGATTAGCGCCGGCTGGCTCATCAGCGCGACAGCGGCGCAGGCCAGCTAGTTGGTGCTCGCCGCCCCGGTACTGCCTCCCTGAGAGACACCCGGTGCGTCGAACCGGCACGCATCACGCGTGGGGTCGATTCTGACGAAGCTTCACTTCATACGCTGCTCTTTGTCAGTTTGGTTGGTTTTTGTTGGCTGGATCCTATCCTGGGTTATGATTCGACCGGTCAGGTCAGCGGCACGGCAACCGGTCAGGCCGGTGCAGCGGCCGCCAGTCAGCTGGCAGCTCGCCACGCCTCTGCTCCGGCCGGCTGCGAGCAGTGTGCTCAGCGCGAGACATCGGCCGCCGCACTGCCGCCAGCCGCCAGTCAAGGTTCAAGGCTGGCCGAGCGCCGGCTGGCGACCGCTTTTTGCGCCGGTGGGGGCAGGCTGCACCCGGGCCGGCAGCAGCAGCAGCAGCAGCAGAAGGCTGAGTAAACGGGGGACGTCCCCAGCCGCTGCTCAGCGGCCGGTCGGGCCGCCCGGACCGGTCCGCCATCCGCCACGGACCGGCTCGGCAGCTGAGACCGGCGGCGCCCGGTGAAACATGCCACATCGCTCGGATACACGCTGAAATGCGCACGCTATTGCGGTAGTTTGTCCCCGCTCGATTAGATATTTAGTGCACAAGGTATACCTTATGCCTGCGTGGTTTTAGGCCGAGTAATCGCAATTTTCTATTGTAAATCGTCTTGTGCCTACGTAACGCCTCAAACGACCCAGCAGTGCCAGCTCAGGCTGAGTTGGCAGTCCTCCGGCACCGACTGAAACGCAGGCCAGACCGACCCATTTTCTACGTACGAACAGCACTGCATTCTCAGCTGCCTCGCCGTGTGAACACGGCTTTCGCACGGGCCTTGCCGGCCGGGCTCGTTTCACGCGCCTCAAAGCCGGGCGCGGCTGTGCGGCGTTGCGTTTCAGTGCGTTCTTGACGCAACCAGCCGGCTGGTGGCGCCGAATGTGGCCACGCCTCGGGCGCGGTGCAGCAATACTCGGTGAGCCGGGCCCAGGCTCGTCGTGCACGACGGTGCCGACTTTCGCGCCCCAATTGATGAGGTAGGAGCGTGAAGGTGGCAGCGCGATACGTACTTTCCTCCATTTTCATGAGTTCTGTTTGAGCGCTGATTTCGTCTGTGAGCCGCGGAGCAATGGTCCGTGATCGGTCGTGACGTCTGCGCCGCCGCGACCAGCTGGTGCCGCACCGCGCCGGCGCCGCTCCTCTGTGTACGAATCTGGCCGGCGCGCCATAAATCGACGCGCGCCGTCCTGGCGGATAAAGGCGCGCTCTCAGGGCGCTGTGTGCGCGCCGCCGGCCGTTGGCACGGCTCCCAGCGGCGGCGGCCCCCTCTGCGGCCCGGGCCGTTTGAAAACGCACCTCTGTCCGGCCTGGGAGCGCTCCTGGCGGGGCTGTGTGGGCTCCGGGCCGGCACACAGGCGCGGCGGGACGCAGCTGATGTGGTGCCGGTGCGCGGCTGCCACTGCAGTGCGGGCCGTGGGCGCGACAACAGGTGCTGAGGGACCGAGGTCCTCTGGTGCGGGACGCAGACCGGGAGCTGACACATCTGGCTGACACGGTAGGACTGTCACTGCGGCGGGCCGCCGGCCGCAGCGCCGGGCAGATCTCTGGCTTTGTAACGTGTAGCTTTGTTTCGGCAAAGGTGGCTAACTTTTTCAGCCAGTCAGATATCTTGTGGAGTCCAACTAGAATGAGTGCTTGTTGTAGGCCAGCAACTGGTCAGCTGCTCGCATAACTATTTTATCCAGTCTGGGCTACCAATTGTTTAGTTGATAAGCCACACAATATTTCTGCTAGAGGCTCTTTTTCTACAAATGCGTATGTCCTGGCGGCGTATACTGATACAAGAACGTTGTGCGTATTCTTTTTTATGTATATTTTATGCTGTGACGTTGTCTTCACATCCATATGCTATTTGATCGGCATTATGATAAGAAGCTGCCTTGTTGGAGCTCGCATTATTTGTCTCGGAGGTCACCGAAGACCAGCACCAGGGTCATGTCATCTCGGTCTCCGAAGGCCGAGTTCCTGGCTGAGCCTCGGAAGACTGGTGCCTCCGGCGCCAACCGAGGACGCGTGATGCGCTCACATTTCTGAAGCGCTCTGCTGCTTCGCCAGGCGGACAGGGACGAGCGCGTGCTACCGGCGCCTGCGGCCAGCCGTGATCAGCGGCACCGAGAGGGTCGGGCTCACCGGCCGCTGACCCCCAACCACACACACGGAGAGGGCGAGGGACGGGACCGTTCGGCTCGGCCGCCACTGCACTCGGTGTCCTCCGCGGACCAGGCATAGCGCGGTCTCTGGTCCCCGCTGACGGCGCTCGTATTAGCCTGCATACCAAGCAGTGCCAGTGACGCGAGAGGCACGGCACGTCGCTGCGCTCTCCGGGCGCCGACCGCCCCCGGCCCCGTCCGCCGGCCGTCTATCGACCCCGCGCCGTGTTTGTAAATAATTGTGAGGAGGTCCCGCCTCTGTGGCGTGTGTACGCTCTCTGGCAGAGGCGCGGCGCGGGAGGCCGCGCTGGCTGGCAGCCGCCCAGCTCTGCCGGCGCGGCTCGGCGCCCCTCCGCCGGCGCTGCGGCTCTCACGCGCGTGCGACGGCGCTCCCGCCGAGCCAGAGGCGACAATTTGCGGTGGTGGCCGGTGGGCGGCGGGGAGGCGCGGCTTTGTTCCCGAGACGGGGGACGGCGGACGCGCCGCAATCTGGCCTGCAAGGCGGGGCTGTGAGCCGGAGTCAGTGGGCCCCGCGGCCGCTGCCATCGGGCGCGCCGGGCCATTCCCGGAATGGTCTGCCGGTCAGGGCTGTGAGAGCCGTCCGCTGAGTCGGCTCGGCCGGCGCGACCTCCACTCTGCCGCCGCAGCGGGAGGCGCTCATCCGAGATTCCCTATCGCGGCCCTGGCGCCGCGTGATCGGCGACGCGGTGCCGGTCGGACTGTGGCCTCAGATCGGCCTCCGTCGCGGACGTTCCGGTCGCTGACGCGGACGGTCCGGTCGTCGTCCGGCTGTACCGGACGGTCCGGCCGCACCGGCGGATCACGTCCACCAGGCACGCCGGTCGCCGCTGGGCGGAAATATTAATCTCGGCCGAGGTGCGCCGGAAATGTCGCGCGGGCGCCATTGCGGCGCGGCGTGGCGGCGCGCCTCGGGCTGTTCCCCGTGGCGAGTGATAACGGCGAGAGGCGGCGGGCGGAGGGCGGCGCGTCTCCCTCCGCCGCCGGTATATCTCCTGGGGCAGGTTTTGTGGCGCCTTTTTCGTCTCTCCCCGCCTCTGTTCCCTCTCTCGGCTCTCTCCTGGCCCTCCGTCGTGCCAGCCGGGATCAATACGGCCTCGGCGCGCCTCTCGAGTTTAGGCTGGCGGCCGGTTTCATTAGAGGCGGGCGGCGCCAGTCGGCCGGGCCCGCTCCGGCTGCAGACTGCCGTTCAGCAGACGGCAGCCGCCGAGCGGGCCCTCTTGGACCTCGGTGGCGTGCATCTTTTATGAGCCACGGTTGTGCTGCATGCGAGTGTAAGTGCGTGCGCGGCTCAGCCGGCGCCGGTGCCGTCATCGTCGCTCGGCCGCCGCCGCCGCTGCCGTCCCCTTACGCGAAGGGAATTGCGCGCCCGAATGAAATAGGTTTCGATCGGGCGGCGGCCGGCGGTGCTCCGCGGGCTGGATCAATGAACGACGGACCGCCCGGCAACGCAGTTGGCGGCGGCGACACCCGCGCCCGAGCCGAGCGCCGCGCCGCCGGGGCACAGCGAGCTGGCGCGGCTCGCTGGTCGGCCGGCCGGGCTGCGGCGCCGGCTGGCCGGCGCGCCCCACCCCACGTCCGCCAGTGACGCGGCGCCCCAGCCCGTGTGGGCCTCGGAACGGCCGCCTGGCAGGCTGCCACTTCAGCTGGGCGCGCCGGTCGAACCACGTCAGCGGACGGGCCGCCCCGAATGAATCGACCCCTGTGGGAAGCCGACCGACCAGGGCGGGGCGAGCGGCCGCCGCGCCGGTCCCCCGGCGGTGCTCGGTGCGCGTGCGCCGGCCCGTTACGCGTCCCCGTTACGCGCTGGGACGCACCGGATGCGCGACGGTCGATGCGTGTCTCCCTCCGCGTAAAACATTCATTTCCATAAAATACGACGGCGAGCTGCCGACGCCGAAATTAGAGTCGCTCTGGGGCGAGGCCCGGCATTGGCTGCACTGGGCTCGCCAGCTGCCTATCTTGCCTATCAAGGCAGTGATGGTGGGGGGGGGGGGCTTTATTGGAGGGAGGGGAGCGGCCATTGGTGCTCCCGTATTCCTCCAGCTTCAGCATCACATTTGGGTGGCTTCGGCGGAGGCCTGCCCGGCGCAGAGTTGATGACTGGTGGAGAATGCTGGCGGCGCGGCTGCCGAGCCTGCGCCGTGTCCGTGTCGCCGCGCCGCGGTGTGACGGCGCCGCAGCGCCCTATATGTCGTGTTCGCATGGTGTGGGGCGCCGTGCACTTTCCTCAGCCGCCGGGGAAAACGGGCTGCGGCCGGGCGCGCCGCACCGCCGCGGCCCTGTTACAGGTGTGCGCCAGCGTGTGGCCCGTCACCGTGTGCCTGGGGCCGGGCCAGGCCGCCGGGGCGGGGCAGCCTTCGTGACGTGCGGCGACGTGTGTGACGCCGCCCAGCCGTGTGTGACACGCTGTCTCTACCTTTGCAGAGGTGCAAAGCATGCAGGCGGCCGCTGCAGCAGCCGCTGCCCAGCTGGGTAGTGGAGGACCTCTCTCCAACCAGGCACTCTTCAACACCTTCCGCAGCGACGACCGAAAGGTAGGCGGCCGCCGGCCGTGCCTGTGCACGCGGACTGCGCAGTGCACAGTGCAGTGCAGTAACACTCAAATCCCCCACTGGGTCCACTGTGAGGCCTTTCATCCTTCCGCTGCTCCTTCAGCGCCCCCTGTGATCTGCCCCTCCGTTATCGATTCACAGCCCGCTATCGCTTCCGTCCATTGGCTGCCCCTTCACCTTCCTCGGTGTCTACTGTCTTTTCCCAGTCATCTTTACTGCGCTTTCGCCCTTTCTTCATAACCCCGTCGCACTTCGCACTGTCCCTCCGCCATACCTCCCTTTCCTTGTCCCTTTGCTAGTTTTCATCCATCCCTTCTGCTTCACTGTCCGTCGGCCGTCCCTTCACCACCCTTCTGCCGTCCCTCTACCTTCCTCCGCTATTCCCTCGCCGTCCCTCCGCCTCCCTCCGACCTCCCTCCGCCTCCCTCCGCCGACCCTCCGCCTCCCTCCGCCTCCCTCCGCCCTCCCTCCGCCGTCCCTCCGCCGTCCCTCCGTCGTCCCTCCGCCTCCCTCCGCCTCCCTCCGCCCTCCCTCCACCTCCCTCCTCCATCCCTTCATACCGGCGCCGTTCGGTCCCAGGACTGCACGTGGGGTGATTCACCCCGTCAGGCTCACAGTCGGGATTCAGTCCGTGGGGTTCAGAGAAAGGCGCCGGGTGCCCGACGGGCTGGGGAGGATCGTTGCCTGGGACGGCGAGGGGAGATCGGTGAACGCTGTTTGCGCGGGGTATTCAGGTGGGGGTAGGGGTGGTAGGAGGCCGACGGAGGGTGTTGACGATCGGCTCACCGTCAGGTGCGCTGCACTACAAAGTCAGTGGCACCAGTGTCGGGTGTTTTCCTCGAGTTCGCCAGCCGATGTTTGACTCGGCGAGAGCCGTTGTGGCTCTGAGTGGGCTCCGTAATTATCGCTGGGTGTAACTGTAGCTACTGAAGTTTTTCCCGTAGCGGTTCTACGGCACGAAATAAGTATTGGTGTAAATATTTCCATCTATGCCGAAAGAGGAATAGGTATAAGTAGAGGCCTCCCTTCGGCATTGTTTATTCCATACCTTCAGCTATAATTTGGGCACACATGATCGTAGTTGATAAATGTAAGAACCTAAAGTTACGTAAATTAATTGCGTTTTCCAGTTTGCAAGTTGGTAGCGCTAGCGCTGAAGGAGTCGACGGACTGTGGGAGGGCAGGGATGCGGAGCCGTGGAAATTTCAAACGGCTCCGGCTCCGGCTCCGGCTCCGGAGAAAAAAATCGGCTCCGGCTCCGGCTCCGGCTCCGGGTGAAATGTTATGGCGGCTCCGGCTCCGGCTCCGGCTCCGAGTAAAATGGTTCGGCTCCGGCGGCTCCGGCTCCGGCGGCTCCGGCTCCGACTCAGTACATCCCCTATGCAATCAATTAAATACGGGTGGAAGAAAAATTGGCTTGGTTATACGCGTTACCTACTCTTGCCATGACCGGCTCACCGCGTCCCCGCGCAAACGCACCTCGGAGAGAACTGGCAGAACAAAGGACTAGGAAGCGATGGCATTGGAAACGCAGTCGCCGCGAATCGGAGTTCACTGAACCATCGTAAGCTGACACCCATCTCAGCGGCATTGGGGGGTGGGGGTGGGGGTGGGAAGAGACGGTGCTGGGAGTCGCAGTCCACTGCACTGGCTTCAAAACAATGGCGGTCACCTGATGACCGGTCCTCATGTTCTGGGGATGCAGTAGACGTGAGTGGGGGGGGGGGGGAGGAGCAGACAGGAAGTTGATTGCGTACTGTGGGATACTGGGGATATTCGGCTTTTTCATTCACTTGATGGCCCATGACGTACTATTGGTCTCAAGATAAGGGCCCAGGCGATCTGTAGTTTTGATGCGGTGAATACCCTTACCCTCGCCACAACTCGGGCCGAGTGCACCCCTCCTCCCAGCCAGCGTCACCCCCACTCGCATTGTGGCGAGGGTGAGGGTATGCACCGCATCAAAAGTACAGGTCGCCTGGGCACTTATATTGAGACAATAGTACGATATGTTTTACTGCCTTGTACTGTCAAACCGAACTAGGTCAATTATTTTTTTCCTCTTCAAAAAATAAAAAGGAGCCGGAGTCGCCCCCTTTTTTGGCGGCTCCGGCTCCGGCTCCGGCTCCGGGCTATATTGTTTCACGGCTCCGGCTCCGGCTCCGGCTCCGGGCAAAATATGCCGGCTCCGGCGGCTCCGGCTCCGACTCCGGCTCCGGCTCCGCATCCCTGGGGAGGAGCGCGGTGCAGGTTTCGTGAGGTGTCGGATTAGGGACTGGGCTGAGGTCTGACGGGTTGAACGACCGTCCGGTGAAGGAGCCGGCTGTCTGGAGGACCGGACAGCGCCCGCTGGGCCGCTGCGAGCCTTGCCTTCGGACCGCTTCCCTGTGGGGAGGAGCTAGGTCGGAGTAGGGGTCAGTCACACGGCCGTCTCTGTTCGTCTCCCTCCCCCCCCCCCCGTTCCGGAATGTTTTCCGTTTTCCTCTCAAACTCCAGCTGGTGGCTTCCTCACTCCCCTCAACTCCGTCCAGTGACGAGTTTGTTCCCCAACCTCGACTGGTGGAGTGACAAAAAAAAAACTATGTCTTGGAACTTGCTCCTTCGCCGTCACTTGTCGCTTGTATCTAGCATTGCTTTTTTACTGTTTCTGTGTTACGTTATCAGCATGCATTCTGTTATTGAAGTCCGTCTTTTGAATGAGTTCAATGTACCCTTATTTTTAGCTTCGTCGTGTGACATTGTTTGTTCCGTTCTGCGGCTCACGATGCTATTCTGGGACTTATGGGACACATTGCACCTGGCAACTCTTATAGATTTATCGTTTAATCACTTTTGATGGCAAGTGTTTCCCTGAGGTATTCTGCGGCCTCCCCTCTGCCCGCTCTCGTTTCCTTTCCCACTCTCCCGTGGCCACCTGCCGTCGCCCGTCCGTCCGCCGGCGCTGGGACGGTCTATGGCTCCATGGATTTTCTGAAGGGCAGCCGGTCTCGGTCGGCCCCCGCCGGATGGGGTGCGGGCGCACCCTTTGGGCGCCAGACCGACTCGCCGAATCGGCCCAGACAGCCGCGCACCGCCTCAATAAAGCGGCAGCCGACGAGCAAGGGGTACACTGGCAGCCGCCAGCGTCACTTCAATAGCTCGTGTAACGGAATAAATGTGTCATTGTGGTGGAGATTTATACTGGTAAATGTCGGCCGCCGCTCGGCTTTCAGCCTGGAGACAGCCGCGGAGGAAAGAGGGTGTCGGCGGCGGCGGCCTTTTTTTTTTGGTGGCGCGCCCCCGTCCCGGCGGACGGACGGCGGCCCTGACGGCAGCCGGACGGACACGCTGGAGGCCCCGCTGTCGGCCTGGGAACCGACAGGAATGGCGCTGCCCGAGCCGGCGTGACTGTGCCGCCGGCGGCCTCGCCGAAACCGGCCGCCGGTGTGAACCAGGATAGACGATGCACGCATGGTGACAGCCGACAAGGATAGACGGCGCAGCGGGCCGGCCACGGACTGCGGCACGTCAACGGCCGCCGGGCCGGGCACGGAGCACGGCCGCGGTGCCGTGCTGGCGGCGTGCCGCCTTTCCCGGTCGGCACCCGCCGGTGTCCGCTACACGAGCCGGGCCGGCCCAGCCCGCCTTTTGTTCAGTTACATTTCCTCTGTAATCCGACGGGTAATCGCTTATCATCACGGAACTGGTGAGATCGCCAGGCCCGCAATGCGTCGGGCACGTATGACTAACCGGAAAAGTCTGTGGCCGACGATGGGAGCAGAGCGTGAATAACTGTTGCGAGCGCATTCCTGAAGGAGCACCACCAGCCTTCCAGCACTGGAATTGGTCTTGGTTTTCCATCTGATGAAGATTGACTGCACGTGCTACTCTTTTCTCTGGCTGTTTTAAGCTTTGATGCCGCACCGGAGCTGATACTTTGAGCTGGGCTTACCTACCTGCCGGATGTGGCCGTTTTCTGCCGCGCTATGCCGTTGCCGACGGCTGTTGGCGTTTCTGTACTGTCTGGATTCGTCGTGCGAGCCGTGCGAGCTGTCCTCCGGGCACCAGCAGGCAGCAACCTACCTCCGTGCTCGGCCGTGTGGGACCTGTGGAGCGTATGTGAGCCGGTGGGCTTAGGGCGACCGGCTCCCAGCGCGCTGCAGCCGCGCTCCGGCGGTACAGGTTTGTTTGGTCGGCCGGCGGCCGGAGCCCGGAGCGGGGTCGTGTTTTGCCCGGCCGGCCGGCCGTCCCTCGACGCACCGGAGCCGCCACTGGAGCGGCGAGCGGCGGCTGTTTTTCGGCCGGCAGCGCGCCGCCGCGGCCGTGCAGCCGGGCCGGCGCTAATGAAGCGGGCGCGCCGTGCCAAACACGCCGCGGCCGCCGCGCTCCCGGGCGCCGGCCGGCGCATGTGGCGACCACACGGTGCACCGCGCGCCCAGCCAGGGTACTGCCGCAGCTGCGGAGTGGGGGCTCCAGCCGGGCTGAGTATACTGCATGTTTGGCTACCCTGTATAGAAAAGGGGCCGGCACCCCACGCTGGTGCCCCGATAGACTCATTGCTGACTCCGCTTTCATTTCGTAAGCAGGGTGCGTGTTCTTCGGAGACAGTCGTCCGCGCTGGCCTGAGTCACAAATCGGCCGAGCCCGGCCCCGTTTTTGGGGGCCGTGGCGTTGATGACGTCACTCGGCCCGCTGTTTTCTCTCCGCGGAGAGTTCGGTGGCCGGGCGGCCGCGGCGGCGCTCGGGCGGCTCGAGCGACCTTGGGCCGGGCCCGGCGGCCAGGGTCAGAGGCACACTCCCCCGCCGGCACCTGCCGCCGCTCCCCACCCCCGCCTTGCCCGGCAACAAGGCCGGCAGACGGGGCACGTGGCCCGCCCGCCGGCCGAGGACACACTTGACCCGTGCGACCAAACAAAGCTAGCTGTTTTCAAATTAATTTCTCCTCTGATTTTGAAAACATGTTGGAATCATATTCTTTTTCGTTACTGCTCATATCTGGAATGAACTTCGCGCCCTCCGAATTTTCCTTGCATTATTTTCATTACGATCATCCATCATTTTCTCCCCTCCATTTTCATCAGTTCCCTGTATATTTTGAGGCATTCCCTGTGGACTCGCGGCCCTCCCCGGTCGGAGCAACAGCACACAGGTGCCGTGAAAAATTGCCCGCTACCCCGGCGCCGCAGTCGTGGCCGGCCGAGCGGCGAGGCCTCGGCGCCGCCGCCGCCGCTTTGTTCGCCGGCGGCAGCCAGCAGAAAATTGGCGCCGCCGCCGCGCTGGAGGACATGGCGAGGGCCGGCACGGTCACAGCGAGGTCGGCGGCTCGGCCCGGCCCGACCGGCGCGTTCCATCAGCGCCCGCCCGGCAGCGGTGCCCGCAGCGCCGGTGCACGGGCGCGACGAAAACAAGGCGCCGGCCTAGCGGGGCGGCGAGTGGCGCTCACTGCCGCCGCCGCCGCCGGAACGCCGAGCGTTGCTCCCTCCCCGGCCGAGGGACGGACGGGGCTTCTCGGCGGCCGGGCCGGCAGGGGGCGCGGGGAGGCGCTGAGGGCTGGCGCCGTCGGGGAGGCAGCGCTGCGGGAGGGGCAGGCTCGGCGCTGCTACCAGAGTGGTAGCAGAAGTGCTGAGTCTGGTCAGCGACTGGCTTGCATGAGCTGATTGCTACACGGGTTTGCTTTGAAGCGAACAATATGGCCATCGCTTTCTTCGGTAACTGGATCCTCATTTCTTTAGAAAGACTCCTGACATATAAAGACACATTTACCTAGATCGCCTTGGTTGAATAATTTAGATACATTGCTTATCATCTCTTATGTTTGCTCTGCCTCCAGTTCATCCGTGAACCGAGAGCGATCCCTTTTTTGTCCACTTTCGCCGTCCTTTTTTGTCTGTCTACATTCCTGAACGTCGGCCAGGTGTAGGCCGTAATATGTTACTACTCTGTCCTTGTACTGCGACTGGCCTTCCACCAGTTCGACTCGGTCCACGTAGTAACGAATGCAGCTGGGCTACCGACTGGCATGGTCAGTATGGTGTGCGATGTAACTGATCGATGCTGAAAACATGTGTCGCACTTATGGTTTGCAAACTTATATTGCTTTTGTAGTGAAATTTGGTGAACTTTTTCCGTATTCGTTTGCGCCTTGCAATATCCTCCAAAATGTATTTTACCGATTAGTGACCGGCTGTGGACCACACGTCGCGCTCCAAACCATTCGAGTGGGAGACCGGCTCCAAACCAGCCATATTTGCGAGCTGCTCCAGCCTCCAAATCAACTGCGAGGCCGGCTGACTACAAACCAGACGAGTACGTGGCTGCCTCTAAACCAGCAGTGGCTCCAAACCAGCTATGTGTGAGACTGGCTTCAAACCAGCTGTGAGGAGGCCAGCTCCAAACCAGCAGGGTGTGAGGCTAGCTTCAAACGAACATATTTTGAGGCTACCTCCAAACCAGCCGAGTGTGTGGCTGGCTGACTCCAAACCAGCTGAGTGTGTGGCTGGCTGGCTGGCTGGCTCCGAACCAACTGAGACGGCAGCGCGGCCGCCGCCGCCGAGCCGCCGAGGCCGGCCGGCCGCTGCCATTTGCCGAGCGGCCGTGGGCCGGTCATTAGGGCGCTCCGCCCCCGCCGCAGTGGCGGTACGGCTCAGCGCCGCCGCTCGGCGCTCGCTGCCCACGGCGCCTCTCGACCGGGGATCAGGCGCGCAGTGATGACGCACCGATAGGCCCAGTGCGCCACACGGACCGGCAAGATCCGCACACTATCGTCCTACGGCGGCGCAGCGGTGCCGGCGGCCCCATCCGCCGTCCCCGCCCCGCTCCTCCAGGCGCCCCTGCCCGGCACAGGCCGGCTCCGACTCATGTCCCAGCCGACAGCGCTCAACAGCTCTCCCCTGCGTGACTGACCGCCGTTTGGTCGACTGATTCTAACACGAGTTTTTCTATAAGCGCCTAAGTCCAACACGGACATTGTATGGCGTTCCCTGGGCCGCGCTGGTCCGGCCGGGACGGCGGTGACCGAGGCCGACCCCGCTGCTCATCGCCGTCGACGCTGTGGTTGGGCTGGAGGCCGTCACCAGGAGGTTCACATGTCCTTGGACGGCGGGCGCTGCGGCGGCGGCGGCGGCGGCGGCGGCAGGACCGGCCCAGGCGGCGGCGCGCGCACCAAATCCGTGAGGCCGCTGCGCCTGCCGGCCGGCCCGGCTGAAAAAGGCGGCTGGCCTCGGCGCCGGTCGGTGAACGCTTCCCGCCGACCCGGCTCTGGCCCACAAAAACCCAGCCAAATGGGGACGGAAGGGAGAAAAACGCCGCCCGCCGCACCCCGCCGAAAAACGGCCAGCCCCGCCACGAAAATGGGCAAAAAACGAGTTTTCAACCATTATTTTCCGGGCCTAGACGTTTATACATATAGCGCGCTCCTCCCGGCACAAAGCCCCCTGGGAGATACCCGACGAGCTAGACTGCCGTGACATTTCAGGGGAAGATGACGCCTCGTCTCTCCAGCAAGCTCAGTCAACGGGAATCCCTAGCTCGTATGATGTTGGTGAAGGACACATTTTCTCATACAAGAATTCTTATAATTCTTACAAGAATTTTTATTTTTTACTTTTTAGGAATTTGACTTGTATTCCAATGCCATATATTTTTGTTGCATTGATGAATAGTCAAAAAATATGCCAAGGCTTGAGTAATACTGAAGAAATGTTTTGTGAGTCATGTCCTTCTTGCGCTGATATCGCTTTGTAATGAAATGCCCCATTTCGGACCGTGTAAAAGTTGTCTTATCTGAACAGATACGGAAAGGATGGTACCGTACGTACTATGTAGCCCCTATAGAGGGGCTGGTAGAGCTCCGTCCCCTCGACCTTGTCGCTCCCCGCCGAGCCTCTCGGCAGCCATTGACGGTGGCGGGCCTCAGTTGCCCAACTGCGCCGCCCGGTAACAGCCGTCAGTAGCAGGCGACCGTGACGAGGTGGGACGCCAGAGGCTGCGTCACGGCCCGTGACACTGACGTAACGGCCGGCCACCTCGACCTGCCGACCTGGAATGCCGCTCGCCCTTATCTTGCAGGGTCTCGCTGATTTGCTGATTGCCAGTCTCATTGACTGGATTTGATGGTCATTGATTTTGTCGCGTGAGTGAACAGACAAGCGTCAACCTCGAGGGCAAGTGAAAACGATGCGACTTCAGCTCAGACCGCTTTTCCCTGGATATTTAGAGAACTGGGACTGTCGAGGTGTGGGGAAAACTGGAGACGCCTGGTGGCGTTGTCCCGATTTCGGACTTTTCGGGGGATCTCTGCGGCGGTTCGTGACTGCCGCCGCCGTGACTGATGACTTTCCGTGAGGTCTGCTCGTGCCGACTGTGGCTGGTGGGCCGGTGGTCTTCCCCAACGAACTGGGGCTGCCGAGCGGCGCGCCTCTCCGTCCCGTTTTCTCTCTGTCTGACCGTATCGTGTTCTGCCGCAGGCCGGTGAGTCGCCCAGTCGCAAACGGCGGCGCATCTCTCTGAGTGGCCAGCACCTGGAGCTGACGCCGCCGCCGGAGGAGCCGCCGGCCGGAGCGGCGGCCGCCGCGCCGCCGCCGGGCCGCGCCGCGTCGCCGCCGCCGCCGCCGGCCCACAGGCGCCGGCTGTCGTCGGGCCGCCGGCCCCCCGGTGACGGCGGCCGCCACCACCGCAGGTCAGTCGCCGCCCGGACCCGCCCGCCTGCCTGCCGTCAGCTCTTTGGAGTTTTAGACCATAATAGGATTTGTGGAGCGACTTATTTTAAGTCCATGTGTTCTACGAAGACACTTGTTTTAGTATTTGCATGTTCTGTGAGACCGCGAGCTGTAGCGCTGCTCCAACTGTCTAGCTGTAGCGCCGCTCGAACTGTCTATCGTTTCGAGAGCTGTGCTTCCGTCAGCCGCGGCCGATAGGCTGGCCGGCCGCGACGGTGACCGGCGCCCCGTCGGCGCCAGGCCCGCCCGGCTGTGTTTGTACTGGGAGGCGCTGCGCAGCGGCCGGGGCCAGGCCAGCAGCGCGCCGGGAATCCACTGACGTGCGCGGTGACGGACTGGTGCCCTGGCGCCGCCGTCAGCGTCACTGACTGGCCCTGTGCTCGGTGACTGCTGTGACCTCTGACGGATTGTGTCGTGACGCCGCCGTCAGTCAGTCAGACAGGCCGGTCACTGACCGGCTCTGTGTCACTGGCTGACTCTGACTGCCGTCACTTTTCACTGTCACTGAAGTGTGCTCTCTGACTGACCGTGTTCTATGTCTGACTAAGCTCTCTGTTTGACTGCTCTGTGCTCTGCGACTAATTGCTCTGTGTTTTCTGTGACTGTGGCTGCTGCTCTCTGCTCTGTGACTGCCGACTTTAACCTCTGACTGAGTGTGCTGAGTGCTCTGTGACCGATTGTGCTCTGTGAGTGACTGACTCTTCTGTGACGACCGACTCTGACCTCTGACTGTTCTCCCCGGCCGATGGCTGACTCGTCTCTCACTGACTAGCTTTGTAACTGACTGCGCTATCTGCCGGAGGTGACTAACTGTGCTATCTATCTCGCTCTGCGTTTGAATGACTGTGTTCTCTGGCCTCTGTCTGACAATGCTCTCTGCCTCCGACAGCCCGCCGATGCGCCGCTCGTCCCGGTACGGCGGTGAGATGGGCCGCGGAGTGGCGGCCGACACGGGGCCGCCGCCTCCGCCGCACCCTGGCCACCCGCCGCAGCCGCCGCACCTGACTCACTACGCCACCAGTGACGCCGCCTCGCATCACATCCGATCGCTGCAGGTACGTGCGCGACGCGTTCTCCTCCTTACAGCGGGCGCCTGCTGCAGGAGACGAGCTAGATCGTCTGCCAGCACCGCCGCCCGCGCCCTGTGCGGACTTGACCGCGGGCAGGGACAGTGAACCATGTTTAGAGGTAATGTGGCTAGCATTCAGATTTTTTTTCTACATGACCGTAGACGCCCACGTAGGGCGCAGCGTGGTCGTGCCACTGCAGCCGTGGGGACGGGACTGCCGACCAAACGGCCTCGAATCCGAGCAGACTGCTCTGGTGGCGCCTGCCGCCGCACTGAGGCGCCGCGGAGGGCTGGCGGCCGCCGCCGTCCGGCCCGCTGCCTGCCGAGCCGGCGCTCAGCCCTCGACAGTCAAGGCCGGTCGCGGCCCGGCCCGGCACGCTCGGCAGCGCTGCACACAGCCCGCCCCGCGGCCCGGCGACACTGAGCGCTGCTGGCGGAAACGGCCGCCGGCGAGAGCGGCTGCGTCCGGTGCCGGTGGAGGGCCGCGCGCGCCGGCGGTCTCGACCCGGCCGCCAGCCGCGGGCGGCGTCCCGTGACCTTGCTGCTCGGCCACCTTTCACCGTGACCTTTCAGGCCTGGCGGTCGCCGTTGGGAAACGCGGCTGCCGCGTCACGGTGGCCGGAGGCCGCGCCTGGCCCAGTGTGCCGCGTGTCAGCCGCGGCCGCCGCCCGCTGGCCTTGGCCGGCCGCCGTGCCGTGAGCGCGGCTCGGTCACGCCGCCGCCGCCAGCAGTCGGCTACAGCTCGGTGGTGACCCCGCCAGCGCCGCCGTCGTGCCCCGCTCAACCTCCCACGCCACACCGGTACGGTTGCGAAAGCCGGCTTAAAACGGCATACGCACAGGATAATGGCGGAAGTAATTACGAGCGAGGCACTTGCCCGTATCGGCGCCCGGCCGACTGGTGCTGCCACCTATGGACGTGGGTGGTACTCGTGGTCGGCGTTTCTTTGTCCAGATGGCGTGACGTGGGCCTCGGCAATCGATGCGGGTCTGGGGCCGTTGCGCAGGCCAGCCATATGCAATGGAGGCTGGCGCTGGCGGCGGAGGCGTGATTGCAGCAGGGTAGCCGTGCCTCCAGGGCTGTGAGGTCGTGAGGCCGGAAAAGAGGCTACTGACGCGCCAACGGGCGACGGTCACCACTCTGTGTGTCTCAGTCGTCACTGAGTATGATGTGGACGTTCCTTCACTAAGAGCATGCACACGCTCATGCAAACAGGGTGGGCTGTGTTCATGTTTTTTCCACTATTCAGTCTCCTGGAACTTTGTCTGGACATGACAATGGTATTTAACCCGCGCCCTGCTGGGGGTCCTGGATTTCCACGCCCTGCTGGGGGGGGGGGGGTGTTTGAACACCCCCCCTTCTAATTCGGCTCCTGGGCCACGTAGCGATACGCGGAAGGCGGCGTTCGAAAGAGCGTCAAAAATAATGAGGAAATCACTTCGGTCAATTTTTTGGTCAGGTCAAAGGTCAGGTCACCAGAGGTCATTGAAGGCAAAATTTCGCCGATTTCCAGGTCGAATGTCGAAAATTTCCAAGAAGCCAACGCATAACTCGGGAACCAATAGAGCTAGAGCGCAGCGGAAAAGCGCATTCGATAGCCCTATTAACGCCCTTTCTGAGTAATTCTCTCAGATTTGACCTAACGTCAACGGTTTTGCCTGCAGGGGGCAAAAACTGCAAAAATAGCCGATTTTTTCGGAAACAGTTTTTCTGCAATAACTTTTGACCCAAGCCTTGTACGAGCTTACTTTTACCGGCATCGTGTTCCTCTCGTCAAGACGCATCGAATGAACTATAACTTGACCTTGAAAGGTCAACTTGAAAATTTGACCTCAGGTCAAGGTCATGACCTGACCGGAAAGGGTCATGTTGCATATCAGTCGATTCGTATCGTCGAGCTGAACACATCTAAGGCGTTTTCATCGCTCTAGCATGCCTCTATCAAAAGTTATTTGCGAAAAACTGTTAGATACCATTCATGACCTAAGATGACCTCAGGGCATAAACAGGGGTCACGGACACCATTTTCATGTTCAGAGTGTCTAAACCACTTGTAATTCAGTGTTTGGGAGTGTTTATAATGTCTTTCGTCCAAAAGAGACGCATTTCAATTTTCTCCCATTGACTTATAATGGGGAGGTCGCAAAATTGACCTGACCTTAGGTCATCGATATCAAAATTCTGAGATATACATTTTGTACATGCTATTGCTCTTAGCAATCGCTGAAAGTTTCAAAGCGATCGGTCACTCGGTGTAGCTATGACAGACATTGAAACTTTTTATGAGGTGAGGTCACTTCAAGTGACCTGGTGACCTGACCTTGGATGACCTTGGTCTGAAATTTTCACAACATGTGTAGAATTGATGTATGATAAGGTGTACCGAAAACGGCGGCGCTCCGCGCCGCCGTTTTTGAGATATTCGCGAAAAACCACAAGGGGGGGTGTTCAAACACCCCCCCCCCCCCAGCAGGGCGCGGGTTAATATCGTGATGAATTGCAGCGGGCAGTGGGCACCATGGGGAATCATGCCAAAAATAGTTAGAAGGATCATTTAGAGCCAGCAACTGAGCTGAGTTTTAGGTAACGGTGCTGTGGTAGTAGGGGAGAGTGGGGAAAGATGCCCAGGGTTTTGCTATGTCATATATTATTCGAAAATGACGATGGGAAAGCAAAAACTTGGAGTTTCAACGGAAGCCGACATCATTTTTTTTTCAAAAATATCACACTTTCGTGCTTGAAATATTATAACTTTTTTTGCTATTAAGCATTTTCCTGAAGAAGTGAAAGGGGGCATCTTACCCCACAGGGTGGGAAAGACGCCCCCTGACGTTGGGAAAGATGCCCCCTGCACTATAAGTGACGTAAATGGGCACGTGAATCGCCTGAACGAATCAGTAGTCCCTTCGAGCCTGCAGTAGACACCAAACGTCATCATAAGGGCCCTCAAAAGTAGTCGTAAGGGGCTTCAGAGGTCATCGTTAGGGCCATCATAGTCCAGCGCGGCCAAACAAGCCTCCGTGGTGGCGTTCGGAGACCACTGTGGGGCTCTTATAGGTCTTCATGATGCTTGAGGGCCCTCTAGCCCATCGTGGGGACCTCCGATGCCAGCGCGGCCCGTGGGGCCAACGTGGGAGCCCTCAAAGGATGTTGTGAGGGGCCCTGGATCCAATAATGGGGCCCACAGAGGCCGTCGTGAGGGCTCTCAGAGTCAGATGCCGCCCAAAAAGTCGCTATGTTGGCCGAGAGACCGGCATGGGGAGCACCCGACCGTACTGGACTCTCAATAGTCCCAGATCGGCTTTTGTCTACATCACAAGTATGTGACAAATGATTTGACTGGCTGTTTAAAGGACAGACTACGGATTTAGGGGGGCGTCTTTCCCCATCAGGACAGGGGGCATCTTACCCCAAGGTACCGAAGTAACATTAAATCAGTACAATTTGTTAGCCATAAAACTTCACCCTGAAACAAACTGTTTGGGACACAGTACACACATGCTAATGTATCACGACTATAGCAAGGGACGCAAAAATTATTAACCTTCTTTGATATTTACAATGTTTTGACACCAAAATATTTTTTGAAAGCAGCAAATAAAAAACATGCAATCATCAGCCAGCCGTTGCCCAACTGAGCTTCGCAAATTTTTGTGCAGTTAACAAGGCAGGCTTCCGCTTTACGCTAACAACATTAATTTCCAGGTCCGATTCTTTGTTTCGCCGCTAGAGGGGGTGGGGCGTCTTTCCCACCCTGGGCATCTTACCCCACTCTCCCCTATCAGTCTCTCAGCGCGTTACCACGGCTGTCCCCGGATGAAATACGGGATTTTTGCAGGCGCTGAGGTCGGGTACCAGTCAGATATCACGGTGGATGACACCATCATGGTAGAACTGGTCTGGACTGGTCTGGTTAGATGCCACATGGATCATGACTGGGTAAAATGGAGGCCGTGGCCGCACTGTCGGGAAATAGGCTTAGGCCAGGCTGCGGCTCATTTTGCTGCATTCAGTGTCTCATCTGAAGACCAAAAACCATAGTCAAAGAAAGAAGCCGCGGTCTTTGTGTGCAGCCCCTCCCCTACAGACCTCCCCGTGGCTGTCTGTGTCTGGGCCGCTGTGCGTGCGGCTCCCCTCCCCGCGGGAGTGGGCTCGGCGCCGCCGGCGGACTCCGACCTCGGCTCGGCGGCGGCCGATCGACCTGGCTGCGGCCGGCCGAGTGGCGCTCCTTTGTGCCTTTGTACGGCGGCCGGCCGGCCGGCGCGCTCGGCGTCGGCCGGGCCGGGCCGGCCGGCTGTTTCCGGCCGCCGCCGCCGCCGCGCCGCCGGCGGCCGGCGCCGCTCAATACGGGCCGAGCTGCCGGCGCCGCCGCACGCCGGTCGGCCGCCGCCAGCCGACGCAGCGCGCCGCCATGATCGTCTGTGTGTCGGTGAGTGCAGCACGCCGCAGGGCCGAGTGAGTCAGGCCGGCGGCGCCGCGCGCCACCCGCCATGCTGGCCCGTGCTCCGACCGACTCCGACCGGCTCGTCCTGTGGCTGCCGGCCGACACCATGCTCGTCTGCGTGCCGGTGAGACGGCCCCGCTCCCTCGGTGTCGCCCGTTAAACGACCCCACTTCCTCGGTGTGACCCCTTTTGCAGCCCCGCTTCCTCGGTGTGGCCCCTTTTTCGTAGGGAGGCGGGCTCGCTCCATTGTCGTGGCCCCTTTTCGCTGGAGAAAAGACCCTGGTCTCTTCTTGTGTCCCCTTTTTGTTGCCTAGAAGTCCCCGGCCTATCGTTGTGGACCCTTTCCGCTGGTAGGATCCTGCCGTTCCCCCGTTGTGGTCCCAATGCGCTGGTGAGAAGGCCCGGTCCCTTGTGGTCCTTGTTAGTTGTTGCGGCGGCCCAGTTCAACGACGTGGCTCCCTGTTTAGCGGGCGTTAGAAGGCCCCGCTTTCTTATTGTGACCCTTTTTTGCCCTTGGACGTTTTTCCGTGGTGGAATGGCCTCCCTTGTTCAGTGTGGCGCGTGGCCCCTACCGGCTGGTGAGTCGGACCCACTGCCCCTCGCTGTAATGAGGGCCCCGCAGCAGTGTGCGACCGCCAGCTCGTGTTGGTCCGAGGTCGCGCCGGTATGCTGGTGCGCCGCTGCGGCTCGGCTGGCTGCGGCGGTGGTGGTGGCAGCGGCGGGCCGGCCGGACGTGCCGGAGAGGTGCAGGCGCCGCGGAGCCGTCTGCGCCAGGTTCACGGTGCACAGCGCGCCGCGCTGGACCCTGCGCCGGCACAGCGGCCCGGCGCGCTGCGGTGTGAGGGAATTTGTAGACCGTGCTGGCGGTCGGCTGACCGGAAGTTGGGCTGACTGGTCAGGTTGGGGTGAACCGGAGGCGGTGTGCACCTCTGGCCAGCTCACAGCCTCGGTGCGTCGCAGTCCCAGTCACGACCGTAAACACTGGGTAGGGCCGGGCGCCGGCACAGCACCCCCCCCCCCCCCCACCGGGCCCCGCGCGGGCTTTGTTGATGAATGGCGCTACCGCACCAATAGCGACACGCTCCTCGTGGGCCCGGCGCCTCCCTGAGATGTGCCAGACTCCACTCAATGACACAATCTCGCTCAGTTTACGATAGTGTTTCCTTGTGTGTGTCGGCGCGTTGACGACCAAAGTTGGGTGGTTGGCTGCAGCGACTGGGAGCCGGTCGGTCGCCGCCGCACGGCTGATCGACCGGACGGCAGAGGCGCTGTTTGCGTCAGCGGCCGGCGCGCCGCAGCGCTCTCTCTCTCTCTCTCTCTCTCTCTCTCTCTCTCTCTCTCTCTCTCTCTCTCTCTCTCTCTCTCTCTCTCTCTCTCTCTCTCTCTCTCTCTCTCTCTCTCTCTCTCCCGCCGACTGCTGCAGGCTGTCCCGGCTATGTATGTGAAGCTGGACCGTCTTTGTTGGCCTGTGACGGCGCGCGGGGAGGGGAGGGGTGTATCTGAGTCTGAGCCGGCCTCCAGCGCCAGTCACGGGCGTCCTGTTGGTGTTGGCCGGCTCCTGCCGGGCCGATCGCGTCACTGCGCCGTCGGCAGCGGCGGCGCGCCTACCGCGCAGCCGCCGACGCCATCGACTCGGACGCCGATCGGGCCGCGGTCACTTGGCGCGCGCCGTCGCCGCCGACACGGGCCGGCGGCACGTGCAGCCGACCCGTGGCGCAGCCGGAACTGTCCCCGTGCTGATAATGAGCAGAGGAATGACCCACGCCTGGCGCGGGCACCATGTATCGGTCACAGCCCACAGGGGAGCTAGTTTATTTACCCAGGAAAAGCATGTAGCCTTACAGACTACGTGGCCAGTCTGTCCTGAGAAGTCGCAAGAGTATGAGTCGCTCCTGCTCACTCGTCTCTGAGATGCTGGAGTGGCGCGTTCCCAGTGGCTCGTGCCCAGCGCCGGCCTGTCTCGGCCAGCTCAGAGGACGGCGGTCATCGATTGTCGACCGGCCATCGACGGCCTGTCTGACGGCCTGCCTGCCTCGGGGCAGCGGCACGGACCGGTGGCGTGCCGCTGTCGGTGGGACTCCATCGGCGGCCACCTCTCAGTCACGTCAGGACTGGGTCCTCTCGGCTACATAGGCGGGGGTCTCTATCGTGGCTTGATCCCAGCGCGTGTTAGGGGAAGTTGGGGCAATGCCGGAGTTGGGGCAAAGCCGAAATTCGAGATATTTCGAAAACCGTAAGACATGGATGCCACCTGTCAGTGATGCTCTGAAGCTTAAGTGACTACAATTATCGCATGTTTGTTACGAGTCGTCATTCGGAATACTTTGGCTGTGAGGGCGCCAAGAGCGTTTTCAAGGTACGCGTTCCTTGTACTACATGCGCCTTTGAAGCTGCATTTCTTACTCATTATGCTACCGTTTGTCTGGCCAATTCGGTCAAGTAATCTTCAGCATGTCTTTGCATAAGTGTGCTGCCTATTTGAAATTTATACGGCACGTTGAAAAGTTATGGGCTTGCAAATGAAAGTATGGCTGGCTGGGGTAATGCCGAAAACGTGCAATTACGCACGTTAAAGCACGCTACGTGGACTTTACTGCTGTAGAATAGCAACGCGAATTTTTAGTCACACAAATTACACTTTCAACCGACACAACGGCCTGTTACCTATAAGGAATTATTTACCTGGCATTTTCTTATTATATCACACAATTATAACTTCCAGTGTGCACCAAGCGTCCTCAAGCTCTTAAAACGCGTGTCAGCTTTGATAGATTCTGGATAAAGTTTGAGATAAAGTGGCAAAACATCAATGTCGGCATTCCCCGTAGATCATTTCTCCCATTTTCGGCTTTCCCCGCAGTCCGGGGCAACGCCGAAAAAGTCACCTCGTTGATATTTTTAGTTTGTGCGCTTAACGGTATGCGAATTCATCAAATGCGCCTGGTATGTTTGAAAGGCAAAAGACTGGCCTCTCGAATGACGCCAACAAGAACAGCTTATGTTGTCTACCTTGCGTGCTACGGGCGTCAGAAAAAAAGTATTCGGCGTTCCCCCAACTTCCCCTATTGTTCGAAATAACACATTTTTATAACCTATTAATATCATTTTTCACTGTATTGACTATTGGAAGACATCCTCGAAGCCCTCATTATTTTCCTCAGGCACCTCATTATAAATGTATTTTTGCATTAGTGGACAATAATCGTGCCTCCTTCCGCATCACCTTAAATCTGTTCAGCCTCGGAAATCATTTGCCCAGTGTTGGCAGCTGCAGTGACAAAGCCACGGGATAACACCTGAGAACTCCGGCAGTCTGTGCCGAGATGGGCCCCCATAAGGCCGATAACTGGCAGCCCAGGGGATGGCACTAACCCGGGTAATTGGCGCCAAGGGTATAATACTGACGCGGAACTGCCCACGCCCTGCTCGACTGGAGGGCATTGATTGCAGCTGAAGCAGATGAGACCAATTATTACGCCCTTGATTGAACCGGCTAGCTCTCGTCGCAGCTTTGCGCGTGTCAGGTGTGTGCAATGCGGTGAAGGAAGCGCCCACGCGACCTGCTCAGGTGACTGCAGTGGGGAAGGGAGGGGTCGGGTCGGAAACTGCGCACTTGGACGGGCTACCTGAGCTGGCGGTCGACGGCCGGAGGGCACGCGTACTGTGCGTCACGAGACCGATCGATGCGGCCGCACGGGCACGGGTTGACGGCGACGGCCACTCACACGACCGGTGCGTCGGCCACCGACGGCCGCGCTGAGTCAGACCGGTGACTCCGTGACTCGCCGACTCCACGTATCCGTCGACTCACGGCCGGCCGGCGCCGCTAACGCCGTGATGCAGTGAGTCAGCGACGGGCGCGGCTCCAGCCCCGCCAGGTGGTATCGCTACCGGCTGGCCGGTCCGGCGACCGGTCAGCTGCCGGCTCAATACCGCCCGCCCCCGCCCCCGCCCCGCCGGCGACCTCCCTCTCTTAGTCATGACTTATTCAGAGCGCGTGCCGGACTCGCGGAAGGGCGAGCTTTTCCCGTCCGGCGGCCGGCCGACCGGTCTGAATCGCGGCCGCCATCAGTTGTCGGGCCTTTCGCCGCTATGGTGCCCAGCTCGCTGACCGCGGGCGGCCGTCTGGCCACGATGGACGCCCACCCAACTGATGGGCGCCTCTTCCGGCGCGGGACGGCGTGACTCGGCGTAATGCATGGGCCATTCCCAGGGTAACACTATCTGGCATCGACTGACTGGCCACTGCGGATTTCAGGCGGGGAATTTTTGGGTTAGGATTTAGAGGAAAGGGAAGGGGACTTTCTACATGTAATGTAAAATCCTTATGAGCCAATGTCGAAATGATTTCAGAGGGAGTTGACATATTCCGCGTTTTTCAAACTTTATCTTTTCTACTTTTCAACGCCAAACACAGAGCGCGTATTTCCCGGAGCTCGGCTCCGTAGCTCCGGTCTCCGCTCCCGCTATGTCGGCGGAAGCACCCTCCCCTCCCCCGCCCGGGAGATAGCCGGGGGGGGGGGGGTCGGTCAGCTGACCTCTGCCCTCCCATCCTTGCCAACGGCGGTGGGCGGATGACGTCATCACCTCCCACCGCGGGGCGGAGAGGGAGATGGATGCATGGCTATTCGTAATCTGTATGCGCCGTGAGTAGCTTGAGTAGGTTCGGAGACGCCCTCCCCCCCCCCCACACACACACACAAACACACTTTTCTTTAGCGTGTATGAGGGAATAGTTGCGAATGGTCTCCGAGAACCCTGCTGAGAAAGGACTATCGAAGTATTGACAGCATTTATTTCATCTGCGTCATGCGTGGGGGAAGGAAGGCAACCTGTGATCTATTAGCGTGTTCTGTTTCAACCAGTTTGTCGCGTGTTGCTGTGAGCCCGTAGCGGAGGGCGGCAACCGACTGCTTATGTCTATCGCTCTGTGCTGTGACTGTGCAGCCCGCCGGTATCACGCAGCTCCTCACTCGGATTCTCCGTCCGTCCTCAGGTGCCAGTGCCGATGCAGCTGGGCTTCACGTCCCAGCACGTGCCGCTCTACTCTGGCCACCATCATCTGCCGCTGTGCGGCGCGCCGGCGCACATGCAGCCGTGCCAGCTGTTCGGCAGCGGGCCCCACTTCGCCGGTACCTGCCAGGTGAGTTGCCGCCGCTGAGCCTGCCGAAGGTGTCACAAATAGCAAGACCGTCGCTCTCTGGCGTCTGAGAGACAAGAGGTACTGCGGCCGACGGAAGCCAGTAACGCCGCTAAAACACGTCGACGAGGGGGAAAATGTATACGGTCGCCGGAAGACTCGTTAGCTCCACAATGTTTTAGCACGTTGCTGCATATGTATGAGCTTCGATCTAGTTACACTGATGACTGACTGCTTCCGGCTGTTATGCATTCATGACACCCGTGGCAATCATCGTCCTATGAAGGTTCATCCCGAACACCGCGTTGCTAATCATATACCAGTTTTAATGGGACTTTACCCTTGGCGACAATGACCGTTCAACTCCTTCCCAGCTCTTTTTGTGCTCTTTATATCGCCGTAATGGAGCCGGTTATACCGTTTCACGTGGCGTCTGACCGAGCCGTCTGCCTGCCTCAGGTACCGCAGATGGGCGCCTGCCTGCCGGGCCCGTACGCGCCCTTCCACAGCCAGATGCCGCCCCAGGCGCATATGAACGCCAACACCATGAACCAGACGCACTTTGCGCCGCGCACACACATGGCACAGGTGAGCTAACCGAACTTAGATATCTCTGATACGCCAGGGAATGCCGGGCATGCCGGGGGCTATGCTCTGGAATATCAAGGATGAGGCTGGAGAATAAGTTACTTGCCGCTTGCAATTATTGCCGCTTTTACATCATTAATTTAGCAGGGAATGCTCTTTTTTGCATTTTGCGGATCAACCACGTTTCATTTATGTTGTCATTACCTTTTTCGCTAGCGCAATATGCGCTGATCATTATGTTTTGCCTACTGCAAACCGATAATGGGAAGGGAACCTTTAAACAGCTGTGCAAACGTACGGTGCTTACTTCTCAAACAGGGCTGGGTGTAATTGTCACATTATTTGTTCATTAGACCTTGCAAGGGTGTGAATTTTCCCCAAAATTGGAATGCTAAGTGCTAACCCGAGCTAAGTTGCTCAGCGTACCAGTTTCGTGTGGCCGTGGGACGGTGTATTTTCTGACCCAGCCCAGGGGCCGGTGCGTTTGTGTGCCGTTCTGTGTTCTTTTTGCCCGTTTTCGGCCGGTATCTTGTACGGTCGGTTTTTGTGACGCCTTTGTTAGGGCTGGCAGTGTTTCTGGGCGTCTATTGATAATCCTGGCTGATCGCCTGACGCCACCAGTCCCGTACCTTTGTCCCCGTCACGGGTGGAGAATTGTGCTGGACTGGGGGTGCTCGAGCTCTCCCAATTCCACGCCGGCCACGCCGGCTTGGCTTTGGAGCCGCGGCCAGGCGGCGCGGGTCAAGGTCACCGCTAGGCGGCGGCGGATTTGCTGCGCCCGAGCACCCCCAGCTGGTCACAATTCTCCACCTATGGTCCCCGTTAGCACTTTTTTCCAAGGGGGTGTAACTATTTCGGCTGTCGAGTCGGGCGCAGTTTGTTGGCGCAGTCGAAAACGGAACAAAGAGACCAAAAACAAAGGCTGGTAGCCCTGTATATTTTCAGAGGCAATGTAGCCCCGAGACACATCTGTAAAACCAAGCCGCATTTATGTAGTAAAACCAAAATTTCAGTCAGCAACTTGCACACATCTGCCGCACGCTTTGTGGAAGGCTGATAGGGCGGCGCCAAACAGCGTAGGCTGACTCGGGCCCGGCTGCGGCTGCGGCTGCAGCGGCGGCGCGGCCGCATGCCAACTCGTGCCTCAGCGCTGTTTGGCGCCCGTAAATAGCCGCACTCTTGACGCGGCGAAAACAGGCGGCGCTCGGCACTGAGCAATGACCGCCGCCGGCCCGCCGCCCGGTTGCGGAAGCCGGGTAAAAAGTATTGGCCGCCGGAAAGGTGCCGCCCGTTGCCCGGGAGACGGGCGTTGCTAGGGCGACCTCAGAGCGCCGTCGATAAGGGAGAGAGGGAGATGAGCGGGGTCAGCCGACGTGGGTATGACCTGTGGGGCCGCCGGCTGACGAGCCGTCCTGCTCTGTTGCAGCGGGCCGAGGGCGACTTTCTGGCCGGCCGGTCGGCTAATCTGGTGACGATGCCGCGGATGGTGCCGCTGCAGCAGCACCAGTCGCCGCCGCCGCCGCCGCCGCCGCACCACCACCACCCGCACCCCCACCAGCACCAGCACCAGCACCAGGCGCACGGGCCGCTGCAGATGCCGCCCAGCAGCGTGCTGCCGCCGGCCGACTCGCGCGCCGCGCAGCTGGAGCTGGCCGCCCACCTGGCCGCCGGCGGCCACCGGCTGCGGCGGCCGGCCGTGCCCAGCCGCCGGCCGCCGCCGCCGCCACCCCCGCCTCCGCCGCCGCCGCCGGCCGCGCCGCTGCCGCGCCGCCACCTGGGCCGCAGCCTGGTGGTGCCGGCCTCGCACGCCACGCCGTACACGCCGTTCCTGCTGCAGTTCCTGGCCATGCTGAACAGCCCCGGCGGCGTGTCGGCCTACGGGCCCACCGAGCTGCCGACCGGCAACGCCGAGACGGAAAACTACGAGGCGCTGCTGACACTGGCCGAGCGGCTGGGCGAGGCCAAGCCGCGCGGCCTCAGCAAGGCCGAGGTGGACCAGCTGCCCAGCTACCGGTTCAACGCCGACACGCACAACTCGGACCTCACCTCGTGCGTGGTGTGCATGTGCGACTTCGAGAGCAGGCAGACGCTGCGCGTCCTGCCCTGCAGCCACGAGTTCCACACCAAATGCGTCGACAAGTGGCTCAAGGTGAGTTCCAGCGCGCTCTCAGCTTATCGGGAGGTAGAGCGATAGCATAAGAGGACCATGTCAGTTGTGCTTACTTCGTTTAGACTTTACAAATCAGTGCCCGGGTTTGCACGGTGTTAAAGGTAGTGTGCCACCTTTGAAAGATTTACCATTTTATTTTTCCTAGGATAAGAAGCTTCTGTTTTTACATAATATCGCAAAAAAAAAAATCAAAAATGGGCCTGGAATAGTGCCTTTTTCGCCTAAAAGTTTTTCGGTTTTTAGATATGTACCTATAACAACTGTAGTGGGCTCACCTGCAAACAGGCGTCGGGCAACAATCGCGAATGCGGCGCACTTGTGACAATAAGCAAAGGTCATTATAGTGTTACGACCATACGACGTACGGGAATGAGTTATCAGCTGTCTAATCGTAGACAACACAATGTCGAGCCTTAAACTGTAAGCCCGTATTGGTATTGTTTCTTTTATTTGGCTGTCGAACATTATTTATGGTTTGAAATATGATTTTATGTAAAATAATTGATATGAAAAAGCCGTCTTATAAGTTATGACCCCATTTCACCACACGCAAGTGGCAGACATGACAATGATCAGCTGACGCATTTTTCTTGGCCGAAGTCAGAGCGCGCGGCCCGACGCACCACGCGTATTTGGAAATTCCGACCTCGACGAGCATCAGAAGCCACCTAACAGGCGTGTTCGAAACCGCAGGAGATGATGATGAACGGGTTTATCGAAACTTGATTGGATGAGCATATCGGTAATAGCGATTTCAGTGTGTGCATTTATTGTTCATAGTGGTGTGAAATGTGGTTGGGGTACGACCGACAACCCGTCGGGGCGAATTTCGCACTGGGGTACTCAAAATTTGAAGAATTTAAGACGTTTCCATGAGTTTTGAAGGTATGGATAAGTTCTAAAAATCCGGTTCTCCTTATCTGGGCCATTAACTCCATACGGTCCAAGAAAGCTGGCACACTACCTTTAAAACTGGTGCCTTAGCTCAACATTGCATAGTTTCTATGGCACGCTGTGTCTTGTAAGGGCCGACAGGGATTGTGAGCGAACCTACACCCTGGAATTGACGGCTGCAGGTATCGATAGGTGAGCATGTTCCCCTGTAAAGATCGGATGTCATCGACGTTGTACTACGTTAATGTGTTCAAGTGTTGAAGCTCGTTTGCCCTGGTCAGCTGTATGACACCAAGCTCTCCGTGCCCACAGACGAACCGCACCTGCCCGATTTGCCGCGGCGACGCGTCCAGCTACTTCGCCGCCTCTTAGACGGCTGTGGGCGGCGCGCGCCCGTCAGTGTGCCTGCCGCCGGGCGGCGCGCCGTTTCCCGTCCTCTGCGCCCGACCACGCCGCCACGCCGCCGCGCGCCCTGCCTTCCTACCCAGCATTCCACCGAAGAACATTGCAATAATCTCGCCCATTGTGCGCACCGTAGGACGTCCAGCGCTCTACCACGGCGGCGCGGCCCGCAGGTTCGGCCCGCCGCCCACGCATAATAAACCCACGCGCTAATCACGTCTCCCGCGCTAAGTGTACAAACAGCCTGCTGAGCGTGCGCACTCGCGCGTCCTTGTGTGCGCACACACACGCTCGTCTTTGTGTGAGTGAGTGTACCACGTAACATCCATGTAACTCAGGCGCTTTGTCATGTCGTATCGCGTTGTGCTCAAGTCGTAGACGCCAATGGTTTTGTGTGTTTGTGCGTGTGTGTGTGCGCGCGCGCATGTGTGTTGTGCGCCGCGGCGCCCGCCCGTCGGTGTGCTGTTTTGTTAGGGTCGCCGCTAGCTCCTTGTTACTAGCCGGTGGGTAGTTCGGCGCACGTCCGCCGCCCCCGCCGCCGGCCGGTCTCGGCCAGCGCTCCGCCTCCCGGCGCCCATCTCCCGTCCGTCTCCCCGCTCCCCGCTCCCGTTATTTCTGCCCCCGTCCCTCGGCCGTACCGATCCCGCCGCCGGCCGCTGCCGCTGGCTCGGCCCGTCTGTATCGATTAGTTCAGACAAGTCCGCAGGCCGGCGGCCGTCCCTCTCCCGCCGCCCCTTGGCGGGGAGGCCGGCTGTCCATTCCGTTCGTTTCCTGGTGACCTGATCCCGTGTCCGCCGTTGGTTGCGTTCCTGGCCCGGTCGTGCCCCCCCCCCCCCGTCCCCGTGCGGCGGCCGGGCCGTGTCTCTCCTCGTCTTCCGTCGTGTTCTGTGGGACCAACAGTGGCCGCGCCGGCGCGGCGGCGGCGGGCCGCCCGCACCCGCTGCACCCGGGCCGCCTGACCGCGCAGCACCGCCTGTGATCGTCGCTTCTTCGCCTGACTAACCAGAGGCGGCCGTCTGTCCGCGCGGCCCCGGCCGGGCCGGACCGGGCCGAGCCGCCAACCCACCAGTTATTCGTTGCCACTCGGTATGATCTCTTGTTGTCAAGCGTGCCATTATATTCTCTAAATCCAGTACTGTTACGTGTATGAGTGCCGCCGTGCATTTTGCCTGTAGTTGCGTTGACCGGTGCGGCGCCGGGGCGCGGCCGGCGCGCTGACCGCCCCGCGCCCGTCTCGGCGCCCGCCCGGATTATTGTAGGCCCACCGGACGGTCCTGATTTGCCGCCGGGCAGTGGCGCCGTCGACTGTCCGGTGCGCCGCCGTTCCGCGGCGGGCTCGTTACACAGTTCAATTTACCCAGTTATCATATGCTGTTACGTGACAGTTATTAGCCGGCGCGCGCGCCCTCGCCCGGTACGCGTCGCTCTTCTACCCGCTGACTAGGGTAGTGCCATAGGCGTCTGACCAGGCGCCGGCCGCGCCCGCCACTCCCGCGCCGCCCACTCCTAACCTTCGTGTCTCGTGTGTCTTTACCAGCCATGTGTCAAGTGCTAGCCAGATAATTGGGCATTGGGACGTTCGAAGGAAGTAGAATGGCTTAATTCATCCACAAATTTTTCCATTAAGCAATCCCATCATGTGTATTGTGCCTCAACTTTGTTAAAATAAATGGTGTGAAAACAAACCACTGGCGTTTCGAGTTCGGGGCGAGTGGTAGTTTCAGGGCCTTGGGTTGTTGTGGGGGTGGTGCATGAGATGCAGATAACAACAGATTAACGCTGTCTGTATATTTTACGAGAGTATCTTTCGATACCTCTAGTCTGATCGTGCAATGGAAAATGTGACATTTTTGGCATGTATTAAACCAGTAAGCATTCATCCGTACCGGAGGGTGATTGACAGGATAGCGTACTTCTGTAAGACGAGCATTTCTAGCACACACACACACACACACGAACATCGAATGTCTGGCATCATCGCACATACCGTTCGCCCGCCGAATGCGACACCACACACCCCATGGTCCCATCAGCACACGTGCGAGCAGCGGTCGCCAGGCGGCGCCCACTCACATACTGGCGCAGCCGGGCTGGACGCCCAGACTGCGCTGGTTGTACTTGACACGGCAGCTCATCGTGCACCGGAAACAATCCACAATCGTTCGTAAAATGTCGTGTCGCCTAGCGCGATCGTCGTTTCAGGTAAACTAACAAGTAATTTGCTTAAACCATGGACTACCCATACTAATAAGTCTAAGTCTCAGACTTCAGTAGAAACAATGAACTATGTACAATGCCGAGCCATGTGGAATAACTCATACGAATTACGCAGACACTAACACACTAAAGATGGCCGCGTCTGTGTCCTTCATTTTGGTGTTGCGGTTGGTCTGCTTGAAGTCTTTGCCGTTGAATAGAAGTACGAATTCTAACGTTTAGAACGTGTAGCCCTGGAACAAAAATAACAAAATAAGACTGATGACAAACACCACGTCACCTCAATCCCCGAGCATCGGCCGCAAATCAATCACGTTGGGATGAAATATCACTATCTGCATATTTCAAAGGTTCAAGCGGAGCATGGAGTTTGCGGTAAGCATTACCCATACGTTAAATTGAAATCACATTGATACTTTGTATTGTACTAAGACGAGTTTTATTTCCGTATCTACATATCAGTCACCATAATGGAGAATAAAAGCAAAAGAGCTAATAGTTTCCTTCTCCATGATAGCGAGACAAAACTAAAACACCTTTTTTCGATCCGAATAGGCATCTGGTCAGTTAGTTTCGTCAGATCTGCATTAGGAACGTCAGCTGGAGTGCGCTTTCGACAAACCACGCCTCAAACTCGGCATAGTGCAGCAGCGTGACATGGGGCATTTAATGTCGACAATGAGCGTGATTTCGACACTGGCCAATGGATTTCGGCACACGGCAAAGGACTGTGACATCGGGCATTGGAAAAAGGCAAATTTCATTTTACAATGGCAATGGTCATGCAGTTTCGTTGGCGGTATAACAAGTTACATCGAACAAATTTCAAACCATGCGTTTTCAATGCTAACCATTAGAGTTTATAGCATCTTTTCCTTTTCTTAGACTTCCCTTGGAGTAATGGAACACAAAATACAAAATGTACGCCAAGGCCGTTGTTTTAAGGTCTAAACGTTTTTTTTTTCTGTGAATGGAGGGTGAGTAGGCTAGCAAGCCATGTCAGAGTCGTGAGATGAGAAGATCATGCGGAGGAAGCATTTGGGTGAGTCTACCAGTGACCGGTGAGCTGCGGCGGCTGACAAGGCGCTGGTAAATTGTCCCGCTACGGACATGCAGCCAAAGCGATCGATGGGTCAGCCCGCAGGGTTTCCACCTTTCCAGAGGGCAGTTTTTTTTTGTCCGGAAATACAGTTGACCATGACTGACCACACCGCCGTCCTGCAAACATTGTTGCCGCTCTCCGGTGACATGCCTATTCCCATCTCGGCAGACCTGAACCATCCGCGCTGGCGGTCAGCGCCACTCACAATGTGTCGACAGATCGACACAAATGAAAAAATCAAGATTTTTGTTTTTAATGCAAGAAATACGGCTAAAACATTGTCAACTTTAGATGCGTTGAGAGGAGCGAGGCCCCGAATGACCCCCGTCAACCTTTGGATTCGCCAGGAGCGTGGCCCCGAATGACCCCCGTCGCCCTTTGGATTCGCCAGTGCTTCCACATTGTCACAGAGTGACGCAAGGATGGTGACCTCGAATTAGGTCAGCTTGTGTGCCGGAAGCGGGTGATGTTAGGGACGAACCGGTGTTAAGGTTCCAGAGCGACTGACGAAATTAGGTGCCCGTTGCCGTATTCCAATGAACGGTTAACGATTCGGATTGAAAAGGTGTGGTTACTTAGCAACCAGGCGCCCATATTGAGTGTCTCTTCACAGTACCGTGGAACATTTTAACACACATTCTTAAAATGCCTTTCCGAAAAGATAAGAGTTGCTTAATTCACTGATGAGATAAATTGACCATTGTCTAGCTTGGCTGCAAGCTGCCGACTTAAAATGCAATATTACAAAACAGAATGCCCTTTGTCGATATTAAATGCCCCTACTGTTGTTCAATGACCCTGGTCGAATATCAACAGATGCTAGTCTAAATCCGTGAAACGTGTCGAAATGCGTGCTCCAGTGTCGAGTTGTTGGAGTGCCTGTCGAGATAAGGTGCCCGCTGCCGTATTTGAATGAACGGATGCCGATTCGGATTGAAAAAAGGTGAACAACGCCAAATACGCATCCTCATTATCACTGTTTACAAGCCCCCTCCCGCCACCATGCAGCCACTTACCGTCGTTTTGGCGGGCTGACGGCAGTCGGTGGCTCGGCAGCAGCGCGCTTCCGGCTGCCTCTTGGCGCAGTGGAAGGCTGCTCGGAGGCAGCAGCAGACGGAGTCGCTTTCTGCGCCCGACCACCACGTTTAGTGGTCGGCACATCGGCAGGTACGCTGGGTTCAGTGCTGGCCACTCTTCGCGACCGGCCGCCACGTTCCGAGGCTGGCACCTCATCAGTGACATCTGCCTCCTCAGAGGCGACCGCCTTTCGAGACCGGCCACCACGTTTCGGAGCTGGCACCTCGGTCACTTCTGGCTCCGACGCAACCACCTTCTGTGAACGGCCACCGCGTTTAGGGGCTGGTACCTCAGCAACTTCTTCTGATTCAGAAACTGCCTTTCGCGAACGGCCACGTTTCGGGGCCGGAACCTCAGCAGCTACTTCCGGCTCAGAGGTCTTTCGCGAGCGGCCGCGTTTCGGAGCTAGCACTTCAACAACTTCTTCTGGCTCGGACACAACCACCTTCTTTGAGCGGTCGCCACGTTTCGGGGCCGGAACCACAGCGACAACCTCTGGCTCCGACTCGACCACCTTTCGCGATCGACCACCACGTTTCGGGGCTGGCGCCTCAGCGACTTCTGGCTCCGATGCGACCACCTTCTTTGAGCGGCCAACGCGTTTCGGGGCCGGAACCACAGCGACAACCTCTGGCTCCGATTCGACCACCTTTCGCGATCGACCACCACGTTTCGGGGCTGGCGCCTCAGCCACTTCTGGCTCCGACGCATCCACCTTTTGAGAACGCCCACCGCGTTTCGGAGCTGGCACTTCAGCGACCTCAGGCTCAGACGTTGCCGCCTTTCGTGATCGACCACCACGCTTCGGGACTGGCAACTCAGCAACCTCTGGCTCCGACTCGACCCCCTTTTGTGTGCGGCCACCGCGTCTCGGAGCTGGCACTTCAGCGACATCAGGCTCAGACGCAACCGCCTTTCGCGAACGGCCGCGTTTCGGAGCTGACACTTCAACGACTTCTTGCTCAGTCGCAACCTTCTGTGAGCGGCCACCGCGTTTCGGGGTGGGCACCTCAGCAACGACTTCTGGCTCAGAAGCTGCCTTTCGTGAACGACCGCGTTTCGGGGCTTGCACTTCAGCGACCTTTGGCTCAGACGTTGCCGCCTTTCGCGAACTACCACGTTTCGGGGCCAAAACCTCAGCGACATCCTCTGGCTCAGACAAAGCCGTTTTTCGCGATCGACCACTTCGTTTCGGAGCTGGCCCCTCAGCAACGACTTCCGGCTCAGACGTGACCGCCTTTTGAGAGCGGCCGCGTTTCGGAGCTGGCGCATCAGTGACTTCTGGCTCAGACGCAACAACCGTCTGTGAGCGGCCACCGCGTTTCGGGGTGGGCACCTCAACAATCACTTCTGGCTCAGAAGTTGCCGCTTTTCGCGATCGACCACCACGTTTCGGAGGTGGCACATCCACAACAGCTTCTGGCTCAGACGTTACCGCCTTCCGCGACCGGCCACCACGTTTCGGGGCTGGCTCAACAGCGACTACTTCTGGCTCTGAGACTACTGAAGTTGATGACTTACGAAGACGTTTCGCAGGGGCTGAAGCTTGAGTCTCTGTTGCACTGACTTCATGATTCTCCTGTGTATCAGACCTTGCCTTTTCAGAGTCACGATCACCAGGCAAAGCCTCACCAGCAGCCCGCTTTTTGCCTCGTGACGGCATTTCAGTGACAGCTGGGGAATCGCCCACAACCTCTGGCGTACTGAACAGCCTCTGCACGCCCTCAACGTTCGTTAGATCGTCAAGATGTTGGCCAGCGCGGCGTGGTGTCCTCAGCAATTTCTTCACCCCTGCTACATCCGTGTAGTCGGCCTTCGGAGAGGACACAGTCTTTGGCGTTTTCAGAAGCCTCTTGACGCCTGCGACATTCGTGTAGTCTGCCTTAGGCGACGAAACAGTCGTCGGTGTTCTAAGAAGCCTTTTGACACCTGCGACATTCGTGTAGTCGGCCTTCGGAGATAAAACGGATGTTGGCGTTTTAAGAAGTTTCTTGACACCTGCGACATTCGTGTAGTCGGCCTTCGGAGATGAGACAGCCGTCGGCGTTTTGAGAAGCCTTTTGACACCTGCCACATTCGTGTAATCGGCCTTCGGAGATGGAGCAGCCCTCGGAGTCTTGAGAAGACTCTTGACACCTGCGACATTCGTGTAGTCGGCCTTCGGAGATGGAGCAGCCCTCGGAGTCTTGAGAAGCCTCTTGACACCTGCGACATTCGTGTAGTCGGCCTTCGGAGATGGAGCAGACCTTGGCGTTCTGAGAAGTTTCTTGACACCTGCGACATTCGTATAGTCGGCCTGCGGAGACGCCACAGATGTTGGCGTCTTCAAAAGCTTTTTCACGCCAGCAACCTGTGAATAGTCAGCTTTAGGCGTGCGGGCACTGGCTCTCGGTGTCTTCATCAACTTCTTTACGCCTTCAACTCTTGTGTAGTCGGCACTTGGAGTCGCAGCTTTCCCTCGCGGCGTCTTCATCAAGCCCTTGACTCCCGCAACATCCGTATAGTCTGCCTGAGGAGAAGCGACAACGTTCGGAGTTCTCAACAGCTTCTTTACGCCAGCAACCTGGGTATAGTCAGCCTTAGGCGTTGTTCCAGCAGACTTCGGTGTTCTCATCATCTGTTTGACACCAGACACATTGGTATAATCCGCTTTCCTGCCCGAACGCTTGGGCGTCACCGACTCAACTTCGTCCGGGCCAGGCGCGTCCGGTGTTGCGTGCTCCAACAGCATCGCTCCGATCCTGCCGGGCGTGAGTAGCGGGCGCCGGGGCGTTCCCATCGGCGACACGAACATGTCCTGCGAAATGTCGGGCGTCTGTACGCAATCCATGTCAAAGGTTTTATCCATCGTCGTCGACGTCATTGACTTGCGGGAGCTGGCAGAAGACCGGCGGGACGGCGGCGACCGGACGGCCGTTAGACTCTTATCTGCCTTCGAGCGCCGCGCAGCAGGTGACTTAGTCGCCTTAGCGGCCGGCCGTGCGGCGGGCGTACGCGGCTTCTTGGCGGACAGCGCCCGTTTGGGTGCCGCCTTGCCGTGCAGTACGTAAGTTGGCGGAGACTGCGCGTGGCCTGTAGTCGGAGAGCCAAACGAGAAACTGCCAGGAACCTCCTGTGAAGAAAGAAAAGCTTGGGCTATACGATAGTGATCATCGAGCTTCGGGATCGTCAGAAAAAGCTAGTTCATGACTCTTGTAGCCGTACTGAATTTTTAGCCCACTGCAACTGTTTGCATACACTCAGTTCGTTCATGTATATGCACCATCAGTCGTTTTCTGCACAAATACTACGGCATTTATAAGAATGGGCCTAGTGATCTGACCCGAAACAATGCTGGCAGGGTTGTGCTCGACTAAAAAAAAATTGCCGACTCGACTCATCATTCAACTTCAGAAAGCCCTGACTCAACTCTGACTCAAACAAGGAGCTCATTTTTTCCCTTGACTCGACTCATGACTCAAGCGGCTCAATGAAAATGTGAGTCGACTGAAACTTGACTCAAATTTTTTGTTAAGTCAAGTGAGTTGACTCAAAATTGACTCAGATAAAAAAGTTGTTGAGCGGGGGGGAGTAAAAAAAAATAAGGCAGCAGGGCAAGGGCTAAGTTATTAACCCGCGCCGTGCTGGGGGGGGGGCGTTTTTACGCCCCCCCCCCTCAGGTTTTTCGCGAATATCTCAAAAACGGCGGCGCGCAGCGCCGCCGTTTTTGGTACACGTGTTCCTACATCATTTCCGCACATGTTGTGAAAATTTCAGACCTAGGCCGTTCAAGGTCAGGTCACCAGGTCACGTCAAGTGACCTTACCTCAGAAAAAGTTCAAAGGCTCGCTATAGCTACACCGACTGAACGATCACTTTGAAACTTTCAGCGATTGATATGAGTAACAGTATGTATAAAATGTATATCTCGGATTTTTGATATCTGTGACCTAAGGTCAGGTCAATTTTGCGACCTCTCCATTATAAGTCAATGGGAGAAAATTGAAATGCGCCTCTTTTGGACGAATATCGTTCAAAACGCTCTCAAACATCGGTTCATAGGTAAACATGACACACTGAATAGGAAAAATGCACCTGTGACCCCTCTGTGTGCCCCTGAGGTCATCTCAGGTCATGAACGGTCGCCAGCAGTTTTTTGGCTATAACTTTTGATAGAGACGTGCTAGAGCGGTGAAAATACGTCAGATGTGTTCAGCTCGACGATACGGATCGACTGATATGCAACATGACCCTTTTCGGTCAGGTCATGACCTTGACCTGAGGTCAAATTTTCAAAATGACCTTTCAAGGTCAAAAAATAGTTCATTCGACGCGTCTCGACGAGAGGAACACGATGCTGGCAAAAGTAATGTCATGGCGCTTATGAGTCAAAAGTTATTGACGAAAAAACGTTTTTCGTAAAAACGGCTATTTTTGGAGCTTTTGCCCTCTGGAGGCTAAACCGTTGACCTGAGGTCAAATCTGAGAACATTACTCAGAAAGGTCTGTAAAAGGGCTATCGAATGCGCTTTTCCGCGGCGCTGTAGCTCTATCGGTTCCCGAGATAGCCGTTGGCAGTTTCCAAAATGTTGAAATAGTCAACATTTTACCTTTGGTGACCTCTGGTGACCTGACCTTTGACCTGACCCAAAAAATGACCGAAGTGTTTTCGTCCTTATTTTTGACGCTCTTTCGATTGCCGCTTACCGCGTGTCGCTACGTGGCCCAGGAGCCGAGTTAGACGGGGGGGCGTGAAAACGCCCCCCCCCCCAGCACTCGGCGGAAAGTTCAGGCCACCAGCACGGCGCGGGTTAAGCGGGGGGGGGGGTGAAAAGCTTATATTATAAATTGTTTCTAGAGAGTTTAGTCAGCTGACTCATGTTCCTAAATGCTTGACTCAGCTCAATGTCAAAAGTTATTTTACTGACTCAACTCTGACTCAACTCAACACCTTAACCCGCGCCCGGCTGGGGGTCCTGGATTTCCACGCCCTGCTGGGTGTTTGAACACACCCCCCCCTTCTAACTCGGCTCCTGGGCCACGTAGCGATACGCGGAAGGCGGCGTTCGAAAGAGCGTCAAAAATAATGAGGAAATCACTTAGGTCAATTTTTTGGTCAGGTCAAAGGTCAGGTCACCAGAGGTCATTGAAGGCAAAATTTCGCCGATTTCCAGGTCGAATGTCGACAATTTCCAAAAAGCCAACGCATAACTCGGGAACCAATAGAGCTACAGCGCCGCGGAAGAGCGCATTCGATAGTCCTATTAACGCTCTTTCTGAGTAATTTTCTCAGATTTGACCTAGCGTCAACGGTTTTGCCTGCAGGGGGCAAAAACTGCAAAAATAGCCAATTTTTTCGGAAACAGTTTTTCTGTAATAACTTTTGACCCGAGCCTTGTACGAGCTTACTTTTACCGGCATCGTGTTCCTCTCGTCAAGACGCATCGAATGAACTATAACTTGACCTTTAAAGGTCAACTTGAAAATTTGACCTCAGGTCAAGGTCATGACCTGACCGGAAAGGGTCATGTTGCATATCAGTCGATCCGTATCGTCGAGCTGAACACATCTAAGGCGTTTTCATCGCTCTAGCATGCCTTTATCAAAAGTTATTTGCGAAAAACTGTTAGATACCATTTGTGACCTAAGATGACCTCAGGGCATAAACAGGGGTCACGGACACCATTTTCATGTTCAGTGTGTCTAAACCACTTGTAATTCAGTGTTTGGGAGTGTTTATAATGTCTTTCGTCCAAAAGAGGCGCATTTAAATTTTCTCCCATTGACTTACTTATAATGGGGAGGTCGCAAAATTGACCTGACCTTAGGTCATCGATATCAAAATTCTGAGATATACATTTTGTACATGCTATTGCTCTTAGCAATCGCTGAAAGTTTCAAAGCGATCGGTCACTCGGTGTAGCTATGACAGACATTGAAACTTTTTATGAGGTGAGGTCACTTCAAGTGACCTGGTGACCTGACCTTGAATGACCTTGGTCTGAAATTTTCACAACATGTGTAGAATCGATGTATGACAAGGTCCGCCGTTTTTGAGATATTCGCGAAAAACCACAAGTGTACAAACACCCCCCCCCCCCCCCCAGCAGGGCGCGGGTTAATACTCGTATTTTTGTCCGACTCAACTCTGACTCATCTCAACAGCTCAACATTTTATCCGACTCGACTCAAATCTGACTCATTTGAGTCAGAGTTGAGTCAAATTTCTGACTCGATTCATGAGTCAAGCACAACCCTGAATGCTGGACATGCTAAAAATGAGCCAGGTCAAAAAATGATCACAATATTTTCACTGTTGTTTTTGTGAACTTACCGTACTCAACGTGGGTGTTTTGAGAGCTTTCGGTTTCTTGGTTTTCGCCGGAGCCTTCTTAGCAGACTTAGCGAGCTTCATGTATTTGTTCTTTAGATTTTTCTTTAACATATCCGCGTAGGTCAGCTTGAACTTGCGGCTTGGCGTCTTTCCACGGGTACTTTTCGACGCGGTCTTTGGTGTCTTTGCGTTCGGACGAGGTGTTGCCGGTGTTTTCTTCGTAACATCTAAAACAAAACCGAGATAAAGTCAGAAAAACAACGAAGCACAGCTTCACTAACTACTACAAGCGCACACCAGTACTCTGTCCTACATACAGCCAGCTACTGAAATGTTACATATATGATATTTCGTTAGGTGAGCGAACGATGGCACTATTTATCTTTCAATATCTGTACGGAACAAGACTGAATGAAAGTGTGCAGCGACATCAATCAAATATCCTTTTATAAAATAAAACGTTCCGAACTGAGATGGATCTTGATTTGCTTGTTTATTGGGGTTTTTGGGCGCGCCGACCGCAAACGTCATTTTGGACAGTTAAAAAAAAAACTTACGATAATGGCTGGTGAAATGCACCTCCAATGACATCATAACAAAGGATTCTGTCCAAAAATACATATTTTCTCCATTCACCTTATAACCTTATAAGACAATAAAGGCTACATTGTATATTATAAACAAAAAGAGGACTTCATATGTACCGTATCAATGCGCAGATAAGCACTCACCTTTAAGTTTCTTCGCAGTCGAGGCGGCAGGCGTGGCGGATGCTCGCTTCGCGGACTTGGATAGCGCCGTTTTCGACATGGAGATACGTATGGTAGGAGTCTGAGCAGCAGTCGCGGCCTGGCCACTCGAGGCCCGCGAAGTTTTCTTTCCGCTTTTAACGACCAAAGTCGATTCGCTCTTCCTTCTCGGTGTGATCGGTGTTGCCTTAGCAGAGCGCGGCGTAACCTTCGAGGACGTGACAGCCACTGAGCGCCGCTGCATCGACCCTGGTGTCTTAGGAGTGCCTGTCTCCTTGGACATTGACTTCATTGGCGTGCTGCCCCGCTTGCGAGTAGCCGCTTTGGGACTGGCAACTTTTCTCGGGGTAACCGACTTGGGACTTTCCGCTGCCTTTCTTGAGGCAGCTGGAGTCTTCTTAGGAGTCTGTGTTTTACTGGCGGGGGTCTTCCCAGGAGACACCGTGCTCTTAGGCGTGTGTACTTTTGCAGACATCGGTGTCTTGACAGCTTTCGGCGTGGAAAGCGTCCCCTTCGGACTGCGCGGTGTCACTTTCGACGCCAACAAAGACACCGAACGCCGCTCCACAGAAGCAGGCGACGTTTCTGAGGCGCACAAGCTCTTGGGAGTAACTGCTTTGGGGCTAGCTAGCCTTTTAGGAGTAAGCATACTAGCTGCACTTGTCACCTTCTTAGGAGTGGGCGTTTTACGGCTGGCTACTACTTTCTTTGGAGTGGCAGTCTTAGGCGTGAGAGCTTTCTTCGAAGTGGACAGCTTAGGAGTCGCTGTCTTTTTAGGAGTGACCGTCTTAGGCGAAATGCCCTTCTTCGGAGTAGCATCTTTTATCGGAGTAGTTCCCTTTTTCAGAGTATTACCCCTGCCCGGAGTAATACCCTTCCTCGGAGTAGTGCCCCTCTTGGGAGTAGTTAACTTCTCCAGAGCACCCTTCTTCGGAGTTGGTGTAGCCAGGACCAGAGACTTCTTCGGAGTTGGTGTTTCCTGGACCGGAGACTTGTTGGGAGTAGGCCTGGTAAGGGAAGCTCCCCTTGGACTCGGTGTGACAAGCACGTCTTTATTGTTGACCACCGTCAACGCGGTCGAGAGGACATCGGCCGTACTCGCCATCCTGGGGCTGGAGCGCGGCGACGCAGATGGCTTCGCAAGAGATGCCCCTTTACCGGACTTGGGCGTGCTCTGGGGCGACGTTAAAGTGGACGTGCCCTTTTGAGCGGGTTCCCTTGGGGACGTTTTCGGTGACGACTTCTTGGGAGTGGCATTCACCGTCGCGCCCAGCGTGGCGGTCCCCGACTTCGGACTTTGTTTCGGAGACGGGCGTTTGGCCGGAGTGGACGGCTTCGGCGACTTTGACTGCGAGCGTCTCAGTTTGCGCTTGAGGAGGCCTCTGACCGGGGTGTGTACCACGGTGTCCGACTCCTCCATGATGACCGTCTGCCGAACAAAACCCACCACTGGCATTAGACATTACCAAAGGTGAAAGCAAGTGGAGCGCAAGTTACTATGTAGCGAAGTTCATACATCATAAAAAATACTATTTATTTTTACTACACATACAAATGGTTTAACCCGCGCCCGGCTGGGGGTCCTGGATTTCCACGCCCTGCTGCGGGGGGGGGGGGGTGTTTGAACATAGTTTGAACGTAGTTTAGAACATAGTTTGAACGCTCTAGCATGTCTCTATCAAAAGTTATTTGCGAAAAACTGCTAGTCAAGGGGGGGGGGGTGTTTGAACACCCCCCCCCCCTTGTAACTCGGCTCCTGGGCCACGTAGCGATACGCAGAAAGCGGCGTTCGAAAGAGCGTCAAAAATAATGACGAAATCACTTCGGTCAATTTTTTGTTCAGGTCAAAGGTCAGGTCACCAGAGGTCATTGAAGGCAAAATTTCGCCGATTTCCAGGTAAAATGTCGAAAATTTCCCAAGAAGCCAACGCATAACTCGGGAACCAATAGAGCTACAGCGCCGCGGAAAAGCGCATTCGATAGCCCTATTAACGCCCTTTCTGAGTAATTCTCTCAGATTTGACCTAACGTCAACGGTTTTGCCTGCAGGGGGCAAAAACTGCAAAAATAACCGATTTTTTCGGAAACAGTTTTTCTGCAATAACTTTTGACCCAAGCCTTGTACGAGCTTACTTTTACCGGCATCGTGTTCCTCTCGTCAAGACGCATCGAATGAACTATAACTTGACCTTGAAAGAAGGTCAACTTGAAAATTTGACCTCAGGTCAAGGTCATGACCTGACCGGAAAGGGTCATGTTGCATATCAGTCGATCCGTATCGTCGAACTGAACACATCTAAGGCGTTTTCATCGCTCTAGCATGTCTCTATCAAAAGTTTTGCGAAAAACTGCTAGATACCATTCGTGACCTAAGATGACCTCAGGGCATAAACAAGGGTCACGGACACCATTTTCACGTTCAGTGTGTCTAAACCACTCGTAATTCGGTGTTTGGTAGTGTTTATAATGTCTTTCGTCCAAAAGAGGCGCATTTCAATTTTCTCCCATTGACTTATAATGGGGAGGTCGCAAAATTGACCTGACCTTAGGTCATCGATATCAAAATTCTGAGATAAACATTTTGTACATGCTGTTGCTCTTAGCAATCGCTGAAAGTTTCAAAGCGATCGGTCACTCGGTGTAGCTATGACAGACATTGAAACTTTTTATGAGGTGAGGTCACTTCAAGTGACCTGGTGACCTGACCTTGAATGACCTTGGTCTGAAATTTTCACAACATGTGTAGAATTGATGTATGATAAGGTATACCAAAAACGGCGGCGCGGAGCCGTTTTTTGAGATATTCGCGAAAAAACACAAGGGTGTTCAAACACCCCCCAGCAGGGCGCGGGTTAAACAATACTTTCTGCTCCTCTCTTGTAGTTCGTTTGAATTATTGTCACTGCGTAACAAAGGTAAAAGAAAAACCGGGTACGCACTCAGTTTTATGTAACTAGGACCTGCTGGAAAAAGAAACTAGCCCGACCTTTTTATTTGTTTGCTTATTGGGAATTTAGGGTACACCGACTAGTGGCCTTTTCGCGCACATATCCCGAACTTTCAAAGGACAGCCCAGATATTCTTGCAGTGCTGTATGACATTTATATTTTATGATGATAAATAGTCTAGTTATTATTCTTGTAAAGTCGTGTACACAATAATTAGGTTCCAGAACACCATTCGTTTCCAAGGATTATCTCCTTATTTCGTTCACATACTTTCTTTGACTCTTGCAATTTGAATTTTTGAAAGTAGGGGAGAGTGGGGTAAGATGCCATGCCCAGGGTGGGAAAGACGCCCCATCCCCTCTAGCGGCGAAACAAAGAATCGAACCTGGAAATTAATGTTCTTAGCGTAAAGCGGAAGCCTGCCTTGTTAACTGCACAAAAATTTGCGAAGCTCAGTTGGGCAACGCCTGGCTGGTGATTTTGCATGTTTTTTACTTGCTGCTTTAAAAAAAAATATTTTGGTGTCAAAACATTGTAAATATCAAAGAAGGTAGATAACTTTTGCGTCCCTTGCTATAGTCGTGATACATTAACATGCGTGAACTGTGTCCCAAACAGTTTGTTTCAGGGTGTAGTTTTATCATGCAGGGCTGCGGAGTCGATAGATTTTCGGCGACTCCGACTTCGACTCCGACTCCGGCTTTCAAAAATCAGCTCCGACTCCGACTCCGGGTAGCATTGTCGACTCCGACCGACTCCAACTCCCGACTCCGACTCCGCAGACCTAGCAGGGCTGCGGAGTCGACAGATTTTCGGTGACTCCGACTCTCTCGGACTCCGGCTCGGGTTTCTAAAATCGACTCCGACTCCGACTCCGGTCACAACTGTCGACTCCGACCGACTACGACTCCGACTCCGACTCCGCAGCCCTGGTTTTATGGCTAACAAATTGTACTAATTTAATGTTACTTCGGTACCTTGGGGTAAGATACCCCCTGTCCTGATGGGGAAAGACGCCCCCCTAAATCCGTAGGCTGTCCTTCAAGCAGCCCGTCAAATCATTTATTACATACTTGTGATGAGAGACAAAAGCTGATCTGGGACTATTGAGAGTCCGGTACGGTCGGGTGCTCCCCATGCCGGTCTCTCGGCCTACACAGCGACTTTTTGGGCGGCATCTAACTCTGAGAGCCCTCACGACGGCCTCTGTGGGCCCCATTATTGGCTCCAGGGCCCCTCACGACATCCTTTAACCCGCGCGGGGCTGGGGGGGTAAATTTTACCCCCCCCTCGCGAATTTTTGCGATATCTCAAAAACGGCGGCGCGCAGCGCCGCCAAACTTTCAGTACCTTTTCTTACATCAATTTGACACGTTCCCTGAAAATTTGAGCGAAATCCGTCGGAAAATTTTTGAGAAATTGACGTTTTAGTGACGTCATGTTCGCCATTTTCGCCTCAAAAACGGCAAAAGTTCAAACGCCGCTAACATCTTCATTTTTAAAGGAATCAAGACGTAACAAAAAAGGTTATACGTAATTTTACTTTGTCTATCAAATGGCTATCTCGGTTTTTTGAAAATTTTGGATTTTGGCCTAAATTTTTTCAAAAAACTGATTTTTTTGGGAAAATCATTATAAAATCCAAAATTTTGAGTCTATCGAAAAAACCGGAATATATGTCAGAGAAGTGGTCTATGTGCACCTACATACCAAATTTTAGAAGAATCGGTTCAAAAATGTGGGAGTTATTCAAAATTTTATGACGTCACGACACACAAAATTTTTGAAAAATGACTTTTTTGGAAGTTCTAGAACTCGTACGGAAACAAAAGTAGCACCATTCGATTCGCCGTGAAAAACTGCATCAGATAGACACCTTTTTAGGCCTTAACAACCAACTTCAAAATTTGACCTCACTTGACCTGACCTTGACCTGACCTCGACCTGAAATTCATCCAGAGGTGGTCCATATCACTTATTGAGTGTGCCTATTGAATTCTATGAGTAAAATGACCCATAAAACATGTGTCGCACATGCCCTTTTCTATATTTTGTTTTTTGGTGACCTGACCTGACCTGACCTTGACCTTGACCTCTGAATGATATTGTATGCAACGAGTATTTTCTTGGTAGCCTAAGAACACGTTTTGGGCGATCAGTCTCAGTCCATGACTCCATTCTTCGGCAACTACGGTGCAAGGCCGATACTGTAGAAACTTGCAATTTGTACCCTTGACCTGACCTTGACCTTGACCTCAAACTTTAAATTAAGTACATGTTTTTAGTAGTTCGTGATGAGAGCTTTCGATTGGCGTTTGAATTTTCCAAATCGGACCATTAGTTCGGGAGATAACAGGGGGGGGGGGTAAAATTTACCCCCCCCCCCCAGCCCCGCGCGTTCGGCTGGAGACCCCAGCCCCGCGCGGGTTAAGGGCTGCCACGTTGGCTCCACGGGCCGCGCTGGCATCTGAGGTCCCCACGATGGGCTCGAGGGCCCTGAAGCATCTTAAACACCTATAAGGGCCCCACAGCGGTCTCCGAACGCCACCACGGAGGCTTGTTTGGCCGCGCTGGACTATGATGGCCCTAACGATGACCTCTGAAGCCCCTTACGACTACTTTTGAGGGCCCTTACGATGACGTTTGTTGTCTACTGCAGGCTCGAAGGGACTACTGATTCGTTCAGGCGATTCACGTGCCCATTTATGTCACTTCTAGTGCAGGGGGCATCTTCTCCAACGCCAGGGGGCGTCTTTCCCACCCTGTGGGGTAAGATGCCCCCTTTCACTTATTCCGGAAAATGCTTAATAGCAAAAAAAGTTATCATATTTCAGGCACGAAAGTGTGATATTTTTGGAGAAAAATGATGTCGGCTTCCGTTGAAACTCCAAGTTTTTGCTTTCCGATCGTCATTTTCGAATAATATATGACATAGAAAACCCCTGGGCATCTTTCCCCACTCTCCCCTAAACGGCGAAGTACCTTGACATATAACTATTTATGCATTGTGACAAAGCATTGTCACATAGCATTATGACATATATTTGTTTTTAAAGATAACCTCATGCTCAATAATTGCAACATGCGAAAGGTTCCAAAATTAATTAAAAATGAATATATTTCGGACACGGCCCTTCCTCAGTTCGGAATTGCAAATGCGAGAAAATTAAAAGGCGCCTCTTTTGAACGAGCGTCATTGTAAACACTCAAGTCTCAAACGCCGAATTACAAGCAATCATGACAAACTGAACCGGAAAATTGCACCTGCAACTTCTCCTTTTGTCCCTGAGGTCATCTCAGGTCACGAATGGTATCTAACAGTTTTCGCTCGTCACTTTTTATAAAGGCATGCTAGAGCGATGAAACCGCTTTGGCTGTGTTCAGCTCGACGATACGATCGACTGATATGCAGCACGACCTTTTCCGGTCAGGTCATGAGTCATGACCTTGACTTGAGATCAAATTTCAAAGTTGAACTTTC